ATGAGGTTGAAGAGACAAAGGTGCCACATCAAAAGATGACTGAATTGGAAATGTTGCTCAGTTAAGCATTTTTAATATACATTCAGCAGTCATCCCCATCTTCACACGTTTTCAGTAACATTTATGACCCATCATTGAGGACAGTGACTCAGGATATAGAAATAAATGAAGAACAAGCTGTGGTAGCCCAGTATAGAGGAAAAGGACTCTTCAGTTCTGGGTTTTTTTTCCCTACCAGATAGGTTTTGACCAGTACTTAATCATGTGGACTTTTATTCTTATGTGTAGGTTAAATAGACAGGTATGGAAATACTTATATTGCTACCTGTGTACAACTGAATTCAGCTACAGATGGGATCTGCTGTAGCAGAGGGGGGAGGAAACCTTGTGTTAGGAGCAGAGGATAAAAAATTTAAGACAAAAGGAAAGCATAGTGAGCTGGAAAAAAACTTTTCTCCTTCTTTTGAAAAGACGTGTTTTCAAATTATGATAGTCTACGAGTCAGCTTTTCTCTGTTGTCATATATTTATAAGTCTTTAACAAATCCAATATATTTTTATCACTTTTCCACATTTCAGACTAACTTCGAGTTTAAATGTTCTCAATCCAAATTAAAGGCAACCAAACATTCTTGGAAAGCAATAGGAACTCCCTGTGTAAGAAGTTTTGTGCAAAGATTCCAAGAAGCTGAGACTTTCATAGAACTTTCTAAAGAAATCCAAATGGCGATTCAGTGGTGTAGGAGCAAAAAACTCAAGGCTCAGACCACCTTTCTGGGTAGTAAACTTCTTAAAAGCAACCGGCTTAAACATGTGGAAGCTCAAGGCTACAGGTAAGTATATTACAAAAATTATATTCCTTTACTTTTTTTGTTACCATTTAGGGCACAAGTACATATATTCAAGTTAGCCGCCTTTAAAATGGGATGTCCAGTAAGCTGGGGGCTAAAATTAGGATCTACTCAAACAAATTCTGTTTACTGCTTTTGTTGGGCAAATCTATATATATCATTGGGAGGAAGAAAGTAAACTTGGTTAATTGGATTATTCACTTATACCCTTCACCATTCCATCCTTTCATTCAGAAAGTGTTAGGAGTGTCTGTGGTATGCTAAGCCTGGGGATAAGCCAGATTTAATCCTCAGGGAGCTCTAGCTCCACCTCTAGCGGGAGAGACAGTCAGTCTGCCCACAGCTTCAGTGGGATGACGGTGTGGGAGAAGAAATGCCTGCCTCCTACAAGGGCGCACCCCAGCCCCTGGGGTCAGGGTCAGGTAGGTTTTGTTCACAGGAGCTAGATTCTCCATGAATTGATTTCTTCCTTTTCCTGTGATTCTTACATTCTTAGAACTGCTGAAGGATGGTTATCTTTGGCTGTGAGGCAGTAATACTTGAAACAGTACATGAAGTTAAATACTTTAGGGCTCTATGTTTTTATTGAAAAAATAATAGATGCTCATGTTTAACAATTTGAGACACAAATGGCTTCAAAAATTCTTATTCCCCCTTCACAGAGGCAATCACTCTGAGCAGCTTTTTATGTATCCTTTAAGAAGTACTCTGGGCATCCACTATTATTTCTTATGTATAGTTACAGACATGTATCTGGTTCAGGACTTTACAGTGGTTCCCATGGATGAATCACTTAGTCTAAAATTTGTTAAATTTTCTTTAAAAATTTATGGAAAAGGTATTTGTCTTAGTAAAAAAATATGATACATTGTGAGAGCTCTGTTTTGATTAAGAGCTGTGGGAGAAGTTAAGTATTCCTAAGGGATGAACTGCTGGAAGGGTTTATTTACACTGGGCTTCCCCTAAAGGTCTGTAGCCATTTAAAAGGGATCTATTCTAGGGTGGAAACTCAGCCTGAGATTGAGCTGTTTGTTCAGGATTGCATTTAAAGTCAGGGGTAGATGAAGCAGAGATAATTAAAAGTTAATGCAGAGGGTGACAAACTGGTAGTTATTTAATTAAAACATTATTCTATACTCCACAAAAACAGAGCTGCCCTGTTTTGCTGTTTCAGTAATATGTTACATGTGTAGTACATTTTAAGTTGATTTAATATCCACAATAACTCTGTGAGGTAGGTAGTATTATTCACATTGTATAGATGAGGAAATAGAGGATTTTGCTCAGGGTGATAGAATTGGAGATCTAGAACTCAATTCAGATCCTCTGATTCTTCTATTTTCATTATTTCTATTTCAGTTGGGAAGTACACCTACCCTCTCCTCACTTAAAAATCACCATTTATAGTAAGACTAAATGGTTTGGAAACAGATCATGCATTACTACATTAGAATGGGCTTCCTCAAACTTCTCTATTTGTTTAAAAAGGAAGAGGAGAGGTTAGGAAGTAGAGACTCATGCTAATCTTTTGAAATCTGACTATCCCAAAGAGTGAGGCAGTTAGGGAGGTACCTTGTGGCAGTACACCCTGTTCAGAAGCAAAACACCTAAAATAATCAGCCATTTGAGCTCTGAATTCCCAGACTTGAAGATGAAATATGAATCACAATTAGGGTAGCTCAAGGCTGTCATTCTGTCTTTGCCAGAAGCTCTGTTTTCTCATTCCTCTTCACTTTTACTCCCTTTTCCTTGACTATTTCCTGCTATAATACGAAGCTGTTAATCCACAAATGGGTTGACGCATCCTTGTAAATTTCCCATTTGTGATACATCTTTCCCCCAGTTCTCCTATTAAAGTATGAACAGATTAGCTATCATCAAGGAAAAGCTCTGGCACTGAAATATGGAGATATCTCACCATTCAACTACCTCGCTAGTTATAGGAGCTACTTTATTTTGGCAACATAATGGGGACACATTTGCCAACAATCTGAATCAGAGGGAAGTTGCGCTCTGAAAACACAGATCTGATTTGAAACTCCTGTTCCCTTATTCATTATGATTCTGGACTTGTACACAGGCAAAAATATAAATTGTATATTTTTCAGTTGGAAGTTGGCAAAAAGGAGACAGAAGTTTTTGAGAATGTCTTTCTGCATCTTAATCTCCAGTTTTCCCTCTCTGTCTTTTAAAGTTTGCCAAAGAAACTTGAGTGCATAAAAACGTCTATTTGCAACTGCCTTCTTCATGGCTCAGGTAGCAAAACTTCAAAGCATCATCTGAGACGAAGAAGATCACAGAATAAATTTTCAATGAGACGAAGGAAACCACAGAGAAAACTGCAGTCGACTCTTTTAAAGGAAGTCCAGCAGCCACCTCAAGGGACTCAGAGTGCTACACAAACCAGTAAAGGGAGACTCTCACACCCTGCAGTTCGCAGAACTGATCTCTTTCCTAACAATAAGCAACTCTTGAGTAGAAGAGTTTCAAATCCTGTCATACAAACTAAGGAGAAACAAATACATGAAAATCTTATAGGAAGCAATGAAAATGAAACTGATTCTTGGACAATGATGCAAACAAACAAACATAATACAACAGGGACCATTAAGGAGACACATGACATTGATGATATTTTTGCTTTGATGGGAGTTTAGATGCTCATATGTTAGACTTTTAAGTGATTAACTAACTAGTCCAGTGTTTTGCTGTTTTAAGTAGAACAGCTGAGATCTGGAAAGATCTGGAAGTACCACTTGGACTCAGAGGAGCTGCTTTAGTGCAACATTGTACAGCATTTCATTTCACTTCAATAAACATTTATCATAGCTTTGTGTCATTTAATCGACAAATATTTGACTATTAAATAGTTAGTTTTTGACTCAATTAAGACCTGAATAATTAGGTTTGCAAAACCTACTCTGTGCCTTAGGTAAATGGGGAGTAGCAATGAAGCACCTAAAAGGTCATTTTAGCCTTAATGGCTCCACTGTAGGTAAGTACACCTCTGAACATCCAAGGTTTGTAGCTTTTAATGGTTGTACTGTCTTCTGTATACTATTGATCATCAAAGTTTTGCCACTAATTGTATTACTAGGGAGTGGTCACAGCCATTATTTCACTTCATTTGTTCGCCTTATCTCATTGGAGGGCATATTAAAATGCTTTTGGAGTTCTCCAAAAGTGTGGTGAGACTTCCCATGTGTCACTTCAAATCCTCTTGGCCTCTTACTTAAGCCACTACTATGGCAACCAGTTTCAAGTAGGATTGGACCTTGCCTTCTGGCCTTCTGTTCCAGAGACCTCTCCCTGCCTCCTGGCTTCTGACAAGCTACAGGAACCACGTGGGTACAGCCTGGAAGAGGTGTGGGGCTGCCCTCTAACCCCCTACAAAGACAATCCAGAGGCACATTTCAAAGGACTCCTCAGGTCCCTCAAGACCAAGCCCCATCCCCCTATGTGGTGTGTGACTCAGTGTATTTGACTGGCTTTCCATCTGCTTCATTTCTCTGTCACTCCTGTTCCCCAACAAACTACTGCATGCAAGCTTTTATTCTGAGCTCTCCTTTTAGGAGAACCAGAAACAAGGCTAAGACAAGCAATAAAGGAACACTAACAGAAAGATGACTTCTAAGATAATTCTATTGTTACTATATATTTTACTTTGTGAATTCCTACATAGTCTTTTTTTTTAAAGCTTAAAACATTGCTAGTTAGAATAGACCAGCATGTCAACTCTAAAACTGAAAATATATTCAGAACTGAATTTTCTAAAAAAAAGCTACAAAGCTGCTTTACAACCTTAATTTTTTCTCCAGTGCTATCGCTCTAACCTTTTAACAGCTAAGCCACTTACAAGAATAGGTCAGTAGCGTCTTCATAAAAATACTTTCCATTAACATTCGTTCAGAGTAAGGCTTTTATCTTTCCATTCTGAATCTTAATGTATCAATTCTAAATTGTCCCATCAACTTTTTTTTCTCTTACCCTTTGCAAATCACTTTTCTCACCTAAAACTAGTTGTTTTTTTTTTGTCTTTGACTACATAAGATGTTATTTCCTCCACATGTTTTCTGTGATAAATCCACCTGTGCATCTTGCTATATACCTGGGTTGGTTTTGCTTTACAAATATGTTGAATATACTGATGTCTTTTTCACATTTTAATTTTCATAGCTTCTGAGGTAAGAGTTACAAAAGAAATCCAGAGAACTCAAGTAATCTGCCCAACTTCCAACATATAGTAAATACTAGAACTGGAACTTGAATTCTAATCTTCTGATTCTGAGTCCTGTGGTCACCTGAAGGTGAAATGACTGGTGTTTCCAGCATGGACTGACTGAAATTTATCAAGAATAATTTTTATATTTAAATAAGGACTCCAAAAAAGATAAATTATAGCCATACATAGGAGAATTTATCTTCAACCTACCTATCAGTGCTTAACAGAAAAGTAGCCCTCTTTTTACCTAGTCCATTGTAACATTAAAAAAATACACTTAATAGACATTCTCTTTAAAAGACAAAAACCCAATACATGGCAAACCCTTGTTTAAGCAGTAGTAAATAGGTCTTCATTTTATGAACTTCCACGTGCTCTTGTCAGTTTGTTAAAATAGGAAAAACTGCTAGTATCCGTCCTAATGAACAACACAGTTCAATCATTTATAAACATTTTCCACCCAGGCACAAGTTCATTCTTGGCTTTGGGAAGATGCAGGTTTTAAGGCTGAAGTGATCCTTCCACAAGTTACACATACACAACATTTAAAACAATGTTGAAATTTTACTTGTTTAACTTCAGCTGGCATAGAGAATTCTGAATCTTCAGCTAACTTGGAAGCCATTAGTCTTAAGATTTCCTGTTATATTTGCTATAAAACATCTCAACAGATGGATTCCAGAATAGGTCACAGCACTGTGAAAAGAAAAGAAAAACCATTTCCTTCCTTACTTCAGAGGTAGTTACAAATCTGAATTCATCTAATTTAAAATCTGCTTACCAAACTCTTGTGAGTTCCATGTATGAAACAGAATGCTTAATTTGTTTTACTTTTCCTCTCTTCTCCCAGCTTCTTGTGGTATTCTAAATCTGGTGATCCACATTATATGATCTATTTCCTTCATGATTCTACAAATTTCACCATATCTACCATTTTGCTTTTTATTTTCCAGACTAAACATTTTTTTTTAAATTGCGGTGTAACTGACATATGACATTAGTTTCAGGGCCACAACAGAATGATTCAGTATTTCTATATGTCATGAAATGATCATGACAGTGGGCCTAGCTGTCACCGTACATAGTTAACAGATATTTTTTTTCTTGTGATGAAGACATTTAAGACCTATTCTCTTAGCAACTTTCAAATATGTAATATAAGTTAAACTCAGATTTTTGACTGGGCCAAGGGTCAGAGCCCCTAACCTCTCACATCGTTCAAGGGTCAGCTGTACAATACCACATCATCTTTACCCATTCATCCACTGAGGAACACTTAGGTTGTTTCCATATTTGGCTATTGAAAATAATGCTTTAATGAACATAGGGGTGCATATATCTTTTCAAATTAATGTCTTCACTTTCTTTGAATATGTATGCAGGAGTAGAATTCCTAGATCATATATAACAATTCTATTTTTAGTTTTTTGAGGAACCTCCATACAGTTTCCATAGTGGCTACATCAATTTACATTCCCACCAACAGTGCATGAGGATTCTTGCTAACATTTATTTCGTCTTTTTGATGTCAGCCATTCTAACAGGTATGAGGTGATATATAACTGTGGTTTCTATCTGCATTTCCATGATGATTAGTGATGGTGAGGATCTTCTCATGTACTTGTTAGCCATCTGTATGTCTTCTTTGGAAAAATGTCTATTCAGATCCTCTGCCCATTTTTTAATCCAATTTTTTTTGCTATTGAGTTGTATGAGTTTATATATTTTGAATATTAACCCCTTATCAGATACATGACTTACAAATATTTTCTCCCATTCAGTAGGTTGACTTCATTTTATTGATGATTTCTTTTGCTGTGCAGAAGCTTTTCGTTTGATATTGTCTACTTACTTATTTTTGCTTTTGTTGCCTTTGCTTTTGGAGTCAGATTCAAAAACTCATCACCAAGACATGTCAAGGAGCTTACCATCCGTTTTCTTCTAGGAGTTTTATAGTTTCGGGTCTTACACTCAAGTTTTAATCCATTTTGAGTTAATTTTTGTGTATAGTGTAAGATACTAGTCTAGTTTCATTCTTTTGCATGTGGCTGTCCAATCTTCCTAGCACCATAATTGAAGAGATTATCCTTTCCCCACTGATATTCTTGGAGACTTTGCTGTAAATTAATTGCTCACATATGCCTGGGTTTATTTCAGGGCTCTCTCTTCTGTTCCACTGACTTATGTGTCTGTTTTTATGCCAATACCATACTGTTTTGTAATATAGTTTGAAATCAGTAAATGTGATGTTTCCAGCTTTGTTCTTTCTCAAGATTGCTTTTACTATTCAGGATCTTCTGTGGTTCCATACACATTTTAGGGCTATTTGTTCCATTTCTGTGAAAAAGGCCATTGGGATATCTTCTATTTTGCTTTTTATTTCCCAGACTAAAATTCTGATCTCTTTAATTTGTTCTTTGTGTGACAAAGATTCAATCACCTTGATAATTTAGACCTTTTTTCCTGACTTTTTAAAAAAAATCATCACCATTATTGTGTCTATTATTGATCTGTCTTACTGTATCCATCCATATACATTCACACATTTGTCAGCATGGACATGAACACATGTCTTGGGATACATGGCCTTTTGTGGATACACTATGATTTTTATGAATACAGGTATATAAAACAGGTGAAATATTTTCTGCTGTACTGCTAATTCTTTTTGATAAAGTACAGCATTTTAGACTTTTTGACCAAAGCTGCCTACTTGAGAACAGCCCATAATGATTCTCAGTTATAACTGAAGTTACACAAATACGGCTTAAAGGAGAGACACAAGTTGGACAGTCCACACACTATGGCACCTTTAACTCATCTGCAACATTTCGGTCAATTCATATGATTTTCTTTGTCCTCAGAGTCAGTTCTCATTTGGTTGAAATTTCACTACATAGAAATCTATAGAAGCAATTATATTGTGCCTAATTATATACTTCTTCCATACCATTTATAAAAATAGACTGATCCCAGTGTCAATCTTTAGGGGCCTTTCACCAATTACACTTCTCTACTTAGCTGAGGCAGAGTTTAGACACAAAGGATAACAGTTAACTTTTGCCAACAGACTTAAAGGCCAAATCTCGCTGGACTACATGTCTACCCACATTTCCACCTTTCTCCTACCAAGATCATACAGGAAGAGAAGGAAATAAAACCTAACTTATTTTACATTGTGTGAGTAGGCCAAACTCCCTTTGGAGGGATGGACTGGGACTTGATCAAGCAAATAAAAGCAAGGAGTATAAATAACTCTACTTTCTGAATTGGGTTTTGAAAGCTACAGAGTACAGTGTGACAACTTCCTGTATGTGGTCACTGTGGTATAGTGAACGTTGGAGTTCATGAAAGCAAGCAGCCTCTTGTGTCTCAATTCTTAAGACTTTGAGTGCTGTGTGGCTTCTGCAGTGCCTTAGTTACATAGTGAGTATGGTGGTGCCATGATTCCAAGGTCATGCATCAGAAAATGCTGGTATATCTAAAGAAGGGAATGCCTGTAAGAAGTACCAAGAATCTGACAGTTTGGGCTGTTGGCCTGACTCTGCCATTTACCAATGGACTGACCAAAGGAAACTAACATTCAGTATGTAGCTAATGTGTGTACATCAGTCACAATGTATTTAATTTAATCCTTCTAACCATCACATTTTTACTAAGTAAGTGAGAAAACAGACTCAGAAAATGAAATAAGTTGTTTTAAAATCTCTAGCCAAGAACAAGAGGAACCATGCAAAATCATGGCTATTTGACTCTACGGTCCATGCTCTTTCTATTTCAGCAAACACCTCTCTGCAACTCACTTCACTTTTCCAAATTGTAATTGTATCTGCGAAACAGGGATGTTTACTTGTGGATCAATTAAGTGTTTTGAATGATTCAGTGACATAACCTCCCCCAAGACCATCTGCTTGCAGATAGCTCTAGTTGTTCTTACTGTCAAGCCACAATCCAGCCTGATTGGTCTGGTAGCATACAGTTCACAGCACTGTGGGACTACTGTTTGATCATCCTCCTGTTTTGGACACTATAATTCTATTAATGTAGCTTAAGAAAACATTGTCAATTTTTCTCCAGTCTCCATTAAACTTAGCTTACAGTCAACTACAACTTTTTATTTTTAATAAATGCTGCTGTTAGGCCATAATTTGCCCATCTTATGTTTGTTTTGCCTTTTTAGCTGAATCAGTCTCACTTCCTTCTTATTAGACATTTAAAAAAAACAGTTACTTTTCTATGACAATACTCAGGGCTCTAAGAAGAACTAGGATTTCCGTTGTATATACGGGACACAAACAAATAGGATAAATACTTGAATGTAAGTCAAAGGAGAAAAGCATTTTGTAGGAATAAATGAGGACATATTTGGACATGCATTTTCGTAATTACAAACGATTTAACTAGATCTGAATTGGTAGAACCTAGAATGACTGTGTAGAGGACAGTTTCATATACAATTGTTACTTGGTTTCATTATTTTCTCATAGAAACTACCACAGTGCCTTCCACAAAGAAGTTAGAGTAAGAAAATCACAGAGGAATGGCATTTCTGCTACAGTATAGGTTATCTACTGTACCCAAAGTATACACTGAAAGTGAACTCATGTTCCATTGCTAAACCACATCTAGTATCTCAAAAATTGCTGGTTCAGGAAATAACCATTCTGTCTGCTACCAATGCTTGATTCTAACTTACATGAAGTATTTCATCTTTACATACAGTCTTTTTAAAGGAAAATTCCTATTCCTCACAGCCTGAATGAGCTTTCTACAATAAAGATGAGTTGTTTTCCTTTGGAACTGAGAAAGGGATGGTAGTATTTTTATTGTGGCTGTTGTTTAGCTTATTTAAAATGTAAGAAGTTTTCACTTCCACTGTGGTCTAAGGTTGAGTTAGGCTGAGGGAGAAAGAGAATGAAGATACCACAAGAAGACTCAGCAAGAATCTGCAGAAGGAAGAGAGAATAGAGGGAAGAAAAAAATAAAAGTGTTGATGGGTTGAACCAATAAATCATGCTAAGTGTATATTCTTCCAAACTCCTCTAATTCTAATACTCCTCAGTATTAGAAACAGATTTAATAATAAAGCTTGTCAGTACAAAAAGTTATCAAGACAATTCAACTCTTACCTTACAAGAAACAACTGAGGAAAACATCCTTGTGTTTTAGTGTCAACAAATTTCTGGATCTCAAGTACTTGTTTTAAAAGATGTCCCTTGGAAGCTTTGTCAATTTTTGTTAATATCATCTGTAAGAAAAACATTTAAGCATTAGGAATATAGTTGACCCTTGAATAACATGGGTTCAAATTAGGTAGGTCCACTTTTATGTGGATTTTTTTCTCAACAGTAAATACTTGAATATTACATGATCTATGGTTGATTAAATCCGTGGATGTGGAATTGTCAACATGGAGGAATTACTGATATGCAAGAAACCTGTAAAGGGAGGGCTGACTACAGATTACACTTGGATTTTCAAATGCAAGGAGGGTTGGCACCCCAACCCTCACGTTGTTCAAGGGTCAACTGTTATTTCGTAATATTTAGTTTTACACATTTTAGTTACAAATTTTCAATTACTAGGTGACCCATGCAAGTTTCTTAATCACTTAGTACTTGTTTCCTCGTCTATAAAATAAAAGCAATACTTCCTAAAGGAGTTACTGTGAAGATTAAAGGAGTTAATGGACGCAATAGATGAAGTATACACTGTGTGTTTGCTGTTTCCAGTACTTTAACTGCACAGGGCCTTGGATTCAAGACCAGTGAAAAGCACCCTGGAGCCATATTTGCGATTGCCATGCACCAAATGTTTCATATAATCACTGTATCTTGTAGTCTAAGATATGTGAGTATTATTAGGTTGATCCATATAAAACTGATAACTTATAATCATTTTAATTTACAAAATGATTCTGTTTTATATGTAAAATCTAAAGGAAAAATTAGAAGCCAGGCTATTTGTAGGCTGTACCCACTAGTTTTATTCCAAATTATGTATAGTTTTATTCCAAGTAAGTCTAAATTCCAATTTACGAGGCTTAATATTAAATATTTACCTTGAATAATTTACTTATTCAAAGACAATTACATACTAGAGGAAAAGTAAAATCTTGGTGTATCTATCAAAGGTTTTCTGTAGGAAATTTCTTTAAAATTAAATTTCCTGACTAATCAATTATGCTTTTTAGTTATAAAATATATTAAAGACAGAAGGAGTGAGAAGCAGAATTCTTTCCTCATAAAGGCAAATATGCTGATTTTTA